CAAGACCGGAAGGAGTGGAAGAGACTCATTCAGTCCCTCCTAGCATATATACCCCTAGGCGAGAGAGATCCGACGTATGCGAACACTAGTCTAGCAAAGAGGCTTAGCAAACTGACCCTAGAGTAATGAACGCGAGAACACGTTTACTACTACCACGAACGGAGGATTGCAAATCTCGCGCCCACTCTTTAAAGCAAGCACTGCATTAATCTATTGAATTTAACAGTCAATAAATCTTGAAGTACGAACCACTCAATAGGGTGATCGTTGCACCCAAAGAGATCCGACGGGGTTGCCATGGTCTTTGAGCAGCGAGGCGAGGATTTTGCTTGGTGCAATGCGCTGGAATGCGTGGTCAGTCTCAATGATCATCACATAACGAGCACGAGGCAGCGGGAGCTCACAAAAGTGACAGATTATCGTAAACATGATGTAGATGGTACTGAATAAAACTCTCCGCACACGAAGTCTAAGGTGTGTTGCCTCCCTATTTTTCAACATTTTAAGTAGAGCAAATAAATTGCCGAGTTGAGCGGTGCTTCGTGTACGGCGAAATTTGTGCGCAATATCCCCGTTAATACTTTTAACGGAAGCGTATCAGGATGTTTTTATGATTTAGAGTGGGATGTCTGCACTTATTCCCAGTGCCAAGTAATTGGTGTAGACCCGAAATCGAGAGAGAAGCACACATGGGGTCTACAGCGCAACCCGCCCCTACAAGGTCGCCACTTATCCCTTCAGCTTAATAAACTCATATTGTATGAACACTGGGTTGGCTGGAGCGACGTCATGTTTAGTGAGGTACAACTTGTCAAATTACACTTGTTAGACAACATCTAGAGAAAGCTGAAGAGGACCGTGGGGGGGTTTAGGCTTAAGATATCAATAAAATCAAATTTGGCTGATTGTAATAGCACTGAAAATTTAATCTGCTTATTATGAGCATGATAACGTATTAGCGCCTTGACAGCAAAATGTCATTATTTTCACCAGGCATCCTAGGTGACAAGAGTCAGGGCTGCCTAAGTTCGGCACAGTCGTGTTTCGCTGACACGACTAACAATTTGTGTGGGTGGGTGAACGAAAATATTCTAGTGCGTAGCTTGCTATTTTTCAGCTTCGAAATTGTGGCTGTTTAGCGAAACCTATGTGTCGCCATGCAGTAGGATTGCGTGACTGTCTATGCGCATCTATCCATGGTCAACTTTCTACGACACTGCTTTATGAATCAGGGCTCAAGACTACCGGGTTATGGATGAAAACCGTATCACATTGTATTTAGATTGACACTGAGTTAAAACGAATAAAATTTCTGAATATGCATCAGAAAAATAATCAACTAACTGAATCACCAGAATATGTTTAAATAAAAGTTTTGTTTTCGATCACAACTGAGCAGTCTTGCAGAAATGCGTAATCTCGTATAAAAACGCATTCCTCAACTGCATGGATACCTACCTACCTACTTAAGAGTCGGCGCCCAAAATTTGATTATTGGCATTAGCTCTATCGTTCGTAAATTACGTATACACTACATCGTACGGCAAAAAAATATATTATTTTTTACAAATTCTTAATAGTCTTACACACCAGCATAGCCAAAGAGTGTAAGACTCGTAACCATAATGAGCATCCCGACATACATACCAACAGCAACAACATGCGGCTTGTTTTTAGCGAATTTGTAAGACGTCGGAATGAGTTCTTTGATACAAATGCACACCATAATACCACAAACGATGCCATATAGTATACCTTCTGCAATGGCATCCATGCCGTCACCAATTGCCAGCCACGCAATGATTCCACCGACTGGCTCTGCAGCTGCAGAAATGATGCACCAGAAGATGCCACGCCGCCGAGAACCCGTTGCAAAATAAATTGGAGCAGCAACGGCGATACCTTCGGGTATGTTATGTAGACCAATGCCAACAGCAAGTGAGAATCCCACAGATGACTTCTGAATTGATCCAACATAAGTGGCGACCCCCTCAGGCAAATTATGAATACCAATAGCAAGTGCACTGAGCAAGCCCATACGCTGTAACGCACGCTTGGCTTCCTCATCCACCTTTAAATATTGAGTATTTGACTCAACACATGACGATGCGCCAGACTCTAGAAATGACATTGGTGGTTTACTTGAATCTTTGTTGCTTTCAAATTGGATAATGGATTCGCGAATATCATGGAGATTTTCAATCTCGGTCATCTCATGCTCGGGCGAGATCTTGTGCACAACGATATCGATGATGTAGATGAGTCCTACACCGACTGCAAAGCATCCCGTAGCACACAGCCAGCCGTGCCCGGTAGCCGTGTCTGCCGTCATGTCTTCAGTGCGAATGCCTTCACTCAGCATTTTCACGGATGCACTGAAAATTTCAACGAGTGAGATGAAGAGCATCACACCCGATGATATACTAAGAGCTACCGCGAGACTCAACGGATTAGCCAGGTGTACAAGTCGAGTGCTGAACACAACCATACCGCCAAGCACCGTGGCAGCACCAGCGGCGATAGTTAGAGCGAAAGCTACAGACACTTCATGGCCTGTTCTGACCATTGACTTGGTTCGTTAGAGGCGTCAGATTAGATTATGCGGACTGAGATGTCTTCGAATGTCAGACGAATGAAGAACATCCAGTTAGGTGAAGATACACCAGGACCAGCCAGGCTTGCACTCGTCGGGCTGAATCAAGCAAATACACAGGCTATCCGCTCAGACAGATGGATACTATCTGCCAATCCTAATAGAGTATCTGGTCAGATAATACTGCGAGTATATACTGAATTGCTATATTTTTTTTAACAGTGATACTGGCCTACCCAAACGTTATCTGAGTAATTTTACATCGTTTTTTACAGTAGATAATCCTATTTCTTACTATCTTTAAATTTGCACTAATTAAGCTGTCCTCTCAATAAATAGTCGACTTATCTGTGCGGCCTGATACGGCGTTTAACGTCGCTATTTGAGTTATATCATGCCCTTCAAGACATATGAGCGTCCGTCGTGCGGGCTTACAATCTTTGCTTGTAACTGTCTGATATTGGATGACTGAAAACCATATTTCTTAATCTCAACAAATGTTGCACCGGTTGTTCCGAGCTCTAAAGAAAGAGCTTCACCTTGTATCAACCTGCTTTTGTTATGGTTAAATAATTTTTGTGCTGCATAGTAAGTAATTATCAAACAAGATCCATCCACAATTGTAACTATGGTGTTGGGTCCTGGTTTTGCTTCTGCTGATGCCAGTATTTTCCACTACCTGATATTGTAGTCGATTGTCATCCCCTCGTACACCATGATCTGCATTTTGTCATAAGTCTCTAAGCTCTTGTCCTCAACTACAAATTGACTCGTATCCCAGTCTTGTTGTCACTTTATTGTTATCTCTTTACTTTCTCAATACAATTTTGTTGACTGCTTTAATACCTTGTATAAAGTGACCATATCATTTGCTACAATATAAATAATCAAGATTGATATAAATTTCGTGTCTTCAAGCTTAATACTGGCTCCAAAATGCCCAATCTCCATGCTCGATCATAAGCGTTATCATTGGTTCAAGGCGACTTGCCCTGTTGAATTCCAGCATGTCCCGCTCATCCCAGTACTGTAATGTCTCGTTTTACGTGGATTGGAACTGCATTAATCGTCTTCTTATGAGGAATGTTCAGTTTTCAAATACTTTCAGTTAAATATATTGCTGTGAGTCTGTTGGCGCGCAGCTTGATCTACCTCGTCTTCTATGCAGCGCCCCATATTCAGGATCCTTGTATTTCCGATAGCAATAAATCATTCACACGGGTTTATGTCGCTATCAGTGCTATTTCTCTATCAACAGTCATGATCCACGTAAACTTACTCAGTCGCACTCGTAATGAGATAACCCATTATAACGCTTATGACATTCACTCGCACGCATGACATCAGCCAACAACCGATCTTGACCCAATTACAGAGTCGGAAATTTCCACACATACCTTTTTTAAGTGCTTGAAAGCCCATTATTCTTAAAAAGAATTCCTTCTGAAGTTAAACCTGTTTTCACAGAAAAATGCTCGAAAACGGTACCACGTGACAATACAACTGGTGAAACGAAGTAGTGATAAGCAAAAGATGCATCCAATGGCGATTGTATATATTGCGGAAGTTATAATGCCTTTCAAACAATGTGTAGGGAGGGTCGCAACAGAACTTGGCATCAATGATAATTGCATGGAGAGATTGGCACGAAAATTTAGCAGGTCATCAAAGTTCACATAAACGAGCCATATCGATCGTCGTACATGTACAAAAGAGAGCTACGACGTAACAATAGCGGCCAGGCGACGTTAAACATCAAAAGCCGCAAGGAAATAATATCGAGAACAAAAGAAGCTCAGCGCTTCTTTAGAGCTTTTTAGAAATCGTTTACTGCACTCATTTCACCTCAACCGCAGTAACATCAAGGATTACAGATTGTCAAAAGTCATTTCTAAGGTTTACCAATATGCAATTCCATGAAAGGTCATCCCTCTTTACAGTCAGATTCTTGTTTCGGCGATCAGATCCAATGCCTCTGTTTTGTAGCCGTCCACCACAATCGTGGCGTTCCATTCATTATACTTTCTGCAATATCGTTCTCATGACGGCAGCTTCTCTTCTGCTCCTTTTTGTCAGCGTCTGTGCAGCACACAATAGCGACATAAAAGACGTGACGAAAGCAGTAAGCACAAGTGAGTTGTACAATATCTGTCCCGTATTTGTCGAGTTTGCCAAAGAGAGAGAGCATTTGTCAGACAAAGAGCTCAAGGCCAATGCCGCGGATGCAGCCATGTCGGCTTATTTGTTAAGCCACCCGAATAATACTTTGTGGGACTACTTTAATCTCGAGCTCGAGCAAATACATCAGACATTTCTGAATCTGCCACTGGTTGAGCGCCTCCAACGAATGGTCAAGAGCGTTTTCAACTACTCGCTGGATACGGTTATTGCACTTGCCCACATGATTGCTGATGTTATTGAGTGGCTTCTCAATACGATTCGTCATCCGAGTGTTGGTCTTCAGCAAATTGTTGACTTTGGTCGTGATTTCGGCAAGAATTTCAAGAATTTATGGGGTTTATTAAAACAAGACCCGAAAAATACAGCGGAGAATATAGCGGGAGGATTCCTTTTGCATGTCGAGCATCACATGGCCGACTTCACAGCCGAGTCCATTCTTTTGGTCGGTACTGGTACCGCTATGATCGCAGGACTCATGCGTGGTGTGGAAGCGATTGCGGGACAACTGAGCGAAGCAGCATCCCACGCGCTGTTATCCGTGCTCGTGTTTATCCATATGATTGATGACCCTATTTTAATCGTTACTCCACTCATTACAAAAATATTTGAGACTTCCGGCGACCTCCACAACAGTTCCGTCAGTACCAATGTCACGACTGTGACGATTGTTGCAGTAAAGCCTCTGAAGACATGTCAGATTCCAGAAGAATATCGTCCTCAATTCTCGACTCGCGACTTGTGTTTGAGCTCGAGTTTGTATGTTCGTAAATTGATCTTTGGATCGACTAAGCGCTCGGCGTTGATGACCTCGCAAGAACGCATAGCTGCCTACAATCGATTCCACGACTTTGTATGTTGTTTTTTAAAAGACCACGAGTTTGAGGTAAATACGGTAGAAACCGAGGCGGCCATGTTTAGAAAAATGCTTATTACGACCCCCGTCAAGATGTCAAACTGCTCTCAGCTCATGGGTGAGTACACTACTGAGACAATGTGGACGCCCACTGCTAGTTACGAAAATGACGAACATCTAGATTAATGATTGCACAAAGTGAGGATTCGATTTATCATGTCCTCACATGAGTAGTACGCGGCTCAGAATTAGAGTGAGCTTTTAGAGGAAATTCTGCATAGATGATAAACATGAAGACCTTTTATTTGTTTTCAAATTTGAAAAGGAATTGATCAATGCGCCTCGGTCTCAGCATCTTTGATCAATTTTGCAATGAAGATGCTAAAGGTGAAGAAAAATACTCGAACGAGTTGCCAGGGCACATACAGATTTTATCGCTACTACGATTGTGACAAAGTAGGTGATGTCGGAATGATAATAACTCACGACATCGTAGCTGCGCAATTCTCATCAGCCGGACAAATGAGAACGGTTCATTTGATAAAATTGACCCCAGCTCGACAAGCAACGCGCTAAAGATTTAAGTTTTATAACCAGGTACAACAATTCTAGTCATTCGACTGACATAGCTCCAAACTGATCAACGACATCTCACCTACCGCTCCTCTTTCCACTATATTTTCATTATTCCCTGCATTGCTCAATTTTGCTCTATCTTACTGTAAATATTGCAATAGCTTCTGTTTAAACATTCACATGTCAGCAACTACTGGACTTGTATATGATTACGTGTGTAAGTTGTCGGAGCTACCGTCTGGGTCGAAGAAATGCTTTGCGTTGCCGGCATCGCAACGCAGCGTTATGTTGCTGAATATTCAAGGAGAGGTTTTCTGTATGGACCAAGCCTGTTATCGTAAGTCAAAGGAGAAGCGCATTCTTGTAATAATAGCCTCTAACTTGTGATGGTATATTCAAGATCACGGTGGACCTCTTGTGAATGGAGACATTGAGGAACTAGGTGGTAAGACTACCATTAAATGTCCATGGCACGCCTACCATATCGCGATCGAGACTGGAGAAGGTTTATACAAAGGCGTGGACATGACCAGAACGCCGTCTGGTAAGTTGCAGCCATCGTCTCCACGACTCAAGTCAAAGGGCGTTAAGCAACGCGTACACTTTGTTGAGTTGCGCAATAAAGGTCAAGATATCTACGTTGCAGACTCTTCAAAAATATTAGGTACATTGCAAAAGTCATAGCCAGCAATGACTGATAATGTGTATTAATCTCTGTTCAAACTTTTCTAGGTGCATCAACGCTTGCGTCCGATTCGTACGCGTTTCAGACAACCAACATCCCTGAAGCTGCGTCAAAGGGCAACGTGCGAATTCATTCGTCTTTTGAATGAGATCGCACGAGTTAAATTGATTCGCCGAACACTGCACACGTTTGTATAGGTATCGTTGTGGTTCTAGCCGATACCTCATCGTAGCGACTTGGTCACGATTCGCGCAGCTTCAGCACGCACAAAGAGCTTTGGACGAATGTAAGGCTTCTGACTCAGTAGCCAATAGTTCGCATCTTCTATTGTCACTTGATTGTCAACCTGACGTTGTAAATACCTGGACGCAATGCTTTCGTTCACGCGTCCATCTACTCTAACCAATCCGCTCTTATCTTGCTGCAATAAACGCTCCTTCAGATCTTTTACTGCCAACTCTTCAATATCCATCTCGGCCTCATCCCGTTCATCCTGAATCAATTTGCTTCGATCTACTTTCTTGCGCTTCTTTGCACGTTCTTTCTCAATCTGTTCCTCGCGCTTAGCATCTTCTAACAGCTGCGCTCGCAGAACTAGATCGTCTTGTCGCACTTTCGTAAATGCATCTTCGCAGCTGACGCGCAAGAGATCCGTTGCAGTTAATTCCATATGATTTCCTGGTCGTCCTGGGATCATTCCCATTCTTTGAGCTTTTTGGATTGCATCCAATGCTTGTGCTTGTGTGTCCCCGCGCTGCTTTGCAATCTCTACCATTTCTTCTATCACTTGTTTCAAATAAACATGGAGCGCATAAGCCATCACGTCAGTACTCTGACCTCCTAGCTCAACACCTGTTCGACGAGCAATTTTGTGCATTTGCGAGCGCAATTTCTCGGAATAAAATAGATCTTTCTCCACCCATTCTTCTTTTTGGCAAGACAACTGCTCCGCCATTCGCTCTCGTCGTACACCTTCCATCATAATCCTCCGTTCAGTTCCCAGCTCAATATTCGTGTGTGTTAAAACGTCTGCCTCATTTCGTATGTCATTGACGCTCGCTTGAGCGAGTTCTTGACTGACTAATTCTGACGCAGCTGCACTCACAGCCGCTACTTCTGCAGCAGTCGCTTTGCCTCGATTCACGGGTGTTAAACGTGGCTTTTTTGACGGAGATCGTGGCGATGGTGATGCCGTTCCACTATTACGCTTCAAAGCTCCTGACGGTGAAGACGCCATCACGGGAGTAGCAGTATTAGCGGTAGAAACAAACGGTTTCACTGCTTGTAAATGTGGGGATAGCGTAGGACTCGCACTCATAGTTGTAGCTGAAATTGGCAACAAACCGATTTTACACATAGGACAATTCGCTGTGTTATTTTTTGCCACGCATGTCTTGTAGTGTCCGTAAATTTGCTTGTACGTTTTGGCGCGAGCCTAGAATTATCAAATGTACGACATTAAAACGAATATCAACTTTTATTGACCACGCGGTACTTACCGGTGGGTTAGGAGTACTCATTTGCTTTAGGATCGTCTTGGCCTCCAGGCACTCTTCTCCAATGGGGCACGAAATGCTCGTACATTTTTCTACATGAAGAATTAACTGCAATAGTCGTCCATACTCTTGTGTCATATTAGCCGTCACATTCTTTTGCTGGGGCTTTGCTGGCGTCAATGTCATCGGAGGGGCAAAGTTTGGTGAGAGCATCGGGGCCGACGGTCCCGGCGATGACGTGCTGGGTTTTCGTTTAAGCGGTTGAGCGCTTGGACTTCGACTAGCTGCATTCTTTGGTGATTTCGTTTTCGCTAATTTTTTGGCTTTGTTCACTGCAGAGGACAGTGGCGTATTGTCATCATCATCACTATCAGTACCACGTCGGAGACCACCAGATTGTGCCGCTAATGTGGCTTGTGACACAGCGTACGTACGCCGCAAACCATCACAAAACGGGATTGAACAGTGGTCAGTCATACCCACAGCGCACTCTTTCGCATGGTATTTGACCAAGCCTTTTAACTGCTCACAATGCGAACATCCATTCGTTCCACCGCATGAGACGCTGTGCTTGAATACACGACGAACATCGTCACACTTTTTCACTTGACATACCCCGGGTCCAAGCGAACACGTTGCAGCATGAGCCAATAATCTTTTGGCAAACAATATTTTCTCTAGTGCTTCATTCCTTGATTGTGCGGTAGCCGGAGCAGAAGTCGATAATATCGTTGTAGCAAGATTTGTTGGTTCACTTTTAATACTAGGTACTGACGGTGTCGAGAGCATTCCAGCAGACTGAATTGACGTCGGTCGCGCAATTTGTGCTGCAATTGATGCTGGCATTGCAACCGGTGCAGCTGCTAAGGTCGGTAGAGAAGCTACAAGTGGCCGATTATTGGGTGCAATAGCCGTTACCTTTGGCGCATTGGCCGTTGCGGTAGTCGCGCCTGTTCTGGCTGCTAGTGGTCTGCCACCGGCTCCAGATGATGCAGTCGCTCCAGGTTCTGGTTTTACAGTGTTCTGTGTTCCCTATAGTTAGAATAGTGTGATCGAGTTAAAGGTCATACCAATACATCTTATAAGCTGCCTTACAGGTGTATTAGTGGTTGGAATGGTTCGTGTGAGGTCCATCTTTTGAATAACGCTCGAGAAAATGGTGTCACCTGCAATGCGCTTGATAATATCCACGATAGACTTTATATCATTTCCATTTCCCTTTCGCATTTCCGAGTGCAGTGTTGCGTATTGCTCCACAGGCAGCATCTGCTTTAATAGTGCAAACATTTGTTGAAACATTTGTTGCCCTGAACCTGGTGACTGCTTGGCAGCAGCAGCAGATACAGGGGGAATAGATGCTAGTGGCTGTGGATGTGGACGTATGGGTGTTGGAGTAGCAGGAGGTGTCATCGGTTTAGGCACAGGTGTCAATAAACCTCCTGGGGGCGTTACAGCCGCGGAGAGTGGGACTCCTGTAAACGAGCGCATGGAGGCTGCATTTAGAAACATCGAGAGAGTTATAGGGGGAAGTATCGAGTAAAAGTGAGATATAGCGTACAACTCATGTCTTCGTCATCTCCAGAGTCATCGCCACCATATAGCAGATCGTCGATTGGAGCACTCATGAATTCTTGTATGATGAAAGTGTGGGAGCCTAGTAAGAGGATGAGACATCTATCTACCGGTATATACCGCAACTATCAGTACTACGACGTACCAATCGAATCTCTTTAGTAAGCAAATAGGGCCAACCTGTACTCGAGAAGAAACGTCTAAAATTATTATTGCTTTATCAGTATTGCGAGCAATCAGAAACCAGAAACACCATGTTTGGATCATCGCTTGACTACATTTAATTTAATATGAAGATGCTGTAATCGCAAATAAAGGCCAGGACAGCAGCGTTGGCCACCATGTTGTCTCCGCGACGGACGTCTTTCTTCAATACAAGACCTTCAATTGGGCACATATCTGAAACGACACCGGATAACTCGGTAGATATGCCGTTACTGACTTAGCAGCGTGCTTTGTCCTTGCGAGTGTGAACAAGAACAGCTGGAACCACCGCGACAGCATTAAAATACACTGCTGACGGGAAGCTTGCATGCCCTTACCCTGTAGATATTCCGAAACGCGCAAACGATGCTTAATAAGCCATTTTGCGATCTTTGCTCCGCAGATAGTGAGTATTTACAATTTGTCCCCGCTGTACGGCTTCTGCTGCTTTCGAATGTACGCGAACAAACCACAGAGTTGTGACGAACATAGCATCAGCGAAAAAATAATTCCTCTTGGCGACATGGTCGATCTGGTGGAGACTAAACCACATTAGCACCAACGAGAATGCCGCTGTCTGGTCAAATTCGAGCTTGGTCGCCCGAAAGCTGGCCAGTCATGGTTAGTTCGCCATCCGTACCGATGCACACGATCCCGCTCCGCCACGAGGAGTCATTGGCATCAAACGCATTTCACGTCGTATGAACACTGTTATGGCCGATTTGTTCGTGTATAATGGCAGAGCATCACCGTGGAGATAGACCAGCGTTCTGGCACTTGCCCAAAAAATAATTTTGACATTTATTTACGACGTTTTTTGTGCGTGTCCTATCTCGAGCGCAGTGGAGTACTAGAGCTCGCCCAGCGGCGAAGAAGTACATCATGAATCGTTTGTGGACTGGTAGCGCAGATATGTAGCACAGATACCTTCACTGCAGCCTTGCAAGTAGCTGAGCTTTGTGACTTCCCGTGCAACGTCAACGGATACAGAGGAAATTCTGGGTGATTTTTAAACGGATCTCAAAACCATTCTGAACAAAAAAAGACTCAGTTTTGACAGAACACACCTCGATGTTGCCTCGTGGCCGCGCGTCTTTGTGCAATCTTAATACAGACAAGCGTGTGCACGAGTGAGATGATCCGACTCGTCATCAACATTGAATGATTAGTCACACCATTGTGTGATCACACCATATTGTGTGACCCACACCCTTCACACCAAGGCACGTGAAACTCCTTTACACTCTCCCCCATCAAGATTGTGAACACCTACACTTCACATTTAACTTTCGCCTCGAACAAGGCTCGCGTGTCTAAGGCACCATAACATCACCGGGACTTTCTTCACAAAATTCTGCTCAATGAGCCCTGTGTCGAAGACACGGACGACACCCAGCCTTGCTGGTTCCGAGAACACTCGCGGGCAGAAACCTTCTTCGTCTACTGCACGCGGTGCAACTTCGGATCACACGCCCGCGGCTTCGAAGGAAGCGCAACGCAAGCTCTCGGTAACCGAGGACAGCGCACCGCACCCGCCATGGGCGATGAATTGTAGAAAGTTGACTACGAGTCAGACACTCCTTTCCCAGGATGGGAAGAAGAAGAGGTGCCCCAGCAGCGCGATGTGAGTCTTGCTCGAACCTTGCGTACGTCGTGTCCGTTCTTCAAACTCTCGACTTCCGGGGGAAGTGGTATCATTACCAATCACCTCGACGAGGCACAGAAGCAGCAGTTAGTGGCTGCCCACAGGGCAGCTCTCATGCGCTCGCATTTGCGGTCGATCCTTGACCATCGTGTGGAATACGGTTTCTGCTCTGCGGATCCCGCAACAGAAGCGAAGAACGCGATCACTCGATCGTTGGGCGTCTACGTGATCGGACTCCCGGCCACAACACAAGCTGGGCTTGACGAACAAAAAGCTCTCCAAACCTCCTTCTTAGTGACTCTAGAAATCCCGGTGGATACGTACCGCACTCGACTCCGTGCTCAAAGAGGAGGCGCTCTTGTACCAGCGATGCTGACGATTCCTGTGGTGCACGCCCCTGGCGAAACCGCTGTAGATGACAAAGTGCTTTTTTAGCGATGGGTGTACCGGCACCGGAAACATTCCTTGCTGCAGAACTTACAGTTGGGTCACAGGGAGGTGGACGCGCGCGTGGAACGACATCTTCGTTTCAAGTTTTTCAAACTTGAGGCGCGTTGCCGACTTCCTTCGAATTGTCACCTTGCGACATATGGAGTAATTCATCACGCTCTCGCGAGCGATATGGTCTCTCATACGGGTAAGTCTGCGGCCGAAACAGCTCAGGTCCATAGATTGGGATCAGCTCATAGACCTACGACTTTCCTGGCCAACGCACAAGCCAAAGCATTCTGCTATCCTAGCTTATAATTCACCTCAAAGTTATATTCTGCGAGGAAGGAGAGCCACCTGGCCATCCTCTGCGAGAGGTGAGGCGACTGAGTCACAGTGCGTATTGACGGATGATCTGTGTAGATTCAAGAACGGCTTAAAGCCAAGCAGGTGAACCCTGAACTCGACAAGTGCATACTTCATCGCAAGTAATTACTGGATTGTTTTTCTCTGCAGCCTTGAGCTGGCGAGATTCGAACACGATCACCCGATCTCGCCCCTCGGCGTCTCCATACAGCCGATGACAAAGTTCGAAGCGTCATACACGACACAAACAGGACGACAGGGGTCCGGCAACGCCAATACTGGTGCTTGAAAGAGGTCTTTGACCCCGTCAAAAGCCTCCTGATGCTCGGGGGCCCAACACCATTCCGCATCCTTCTAAGGAGATTCGACAATGGTCGTGCCATTTCCGCATGATTCTCGCTGTACTTGTTCAACTACGTGGCGAGGCCAAGCCACTTGCGCAAGTCCTTTGATTCTTTGGAATCGGTCAGTCCACAATTGCCTAAATATTAGCGGGATCCGCTCGAAGGACACGCTTCCAAATGAAGCATCCTAAAAAGGGAATTTCTTCGGCGCCGAAATACACTTGTCTGCATTAGCATACAGCTTTTTCGTGCACATGCACTCGAGCACCGCTCTTTAATGGACGATGTGGCTCTCTTCATCCGTCCTCTCGTGCTCACGACTGGTGGACGAAGATGTCGTTGAAGCATGTCTGTGCATACGCCCGGTGGGGTCGGGATAACCCCGTCACAGGACGATTAAATCTTGCTGGTGCATTAGACTGCCCTTGGGGAATCCCAGAGCATCCTGCTCGAAGTACATACCGCTGTCAGCGGAATATCACTCGCGCTCATGAGCAGTTAGTAACATCCATCGACCAATTCGAGTGCACTGTACTTTGTACATTCAACCATGTTGTTCTGGAAAACATCCTTCCTAGGAATCTGTGTCGGAATGGTGGAATGTTGAGCTTATCGTAAGCGTGAACGATACACCTTTTGCTGTTTCTTTCGGACACAAAACGTATGTGTCGAATGGGGAGACTTGCTCTCACGTACCATTCTTGCGTGGTGCTCTGCACGGAAAAAGGCGTCAATGTCGCCACACTGCTCCTTGGGCAAGGGCCACTGGCGTGTCACGTAGTATTTGGTTTTCGGAACCAGGTCGATCTCATGACGCACACCTCGGGCCGGAGGAGGGAATGACGGAATGAAATATGTTTCCCAAATGATAGTACGCGATGGATTCTTCGAAATCGAACGATTCAGTTCGTGCGCTCAGCACTCTCTTGGTGTCCTCTTCTGCTCGTATAATAACCACTTTGGCTACGTCGTCTGCCTTCAAGGCATCACCGAACTCTTTGGAGGACATCATGTCCAGCTCAAGAAGAGCATGCACCGCAAGAATGGCCTCGGGGTGACGTCGCCATCTTCCTCCCACGTCATACCGTTGACTCAGCATGTAGCTGACTTCTTTCGATCGTGGAACATCGAGCATGATTACCCGACACCCCGGAGTTGATCAAGATTTTCCAATGCTTCTCAAAGCCCTTCACGGTCGCCTTTACGACCAGCAAGTCCGTCTTCGGGGCTGGGCCCTGCTGACTGAGGTTCAACAAAACTCAGTTCCTTCTCAGTAGACCGCCCCGCGCTTACTGGGTGTTGACGTTTCCCCGCGACAAACAAGAAATCTGGTGAGAAGCGGGAAGTCGGTTTGATGAACCTTGTCGTGCCTTACACAAACCGGTCCGATGGTGGCGGGTGTCACCACAAACAACACTGGCAAAAATAATTTTGATGAAAAAATATTTGTCATAAAATATATTGTTAAAGATGAAGCAAAAACTAAGATACCTGTTTTATATCTATAAAAATAATTCGAATAAATTGGGTTATGGTTAGAACTTAAATTAAAAATATGTTATACCCGCCGGGTGTTTACACACTGTTCGGAAGCTCGGAGCTCTCCTCCTTCTGTCTCAGCATAGCTGAGATCCATTGACTCAGGTCCGCTGGACGAGCTATAAGGGTGTGCATTCCATCTAGATCGCGCCGACTTAAAGTTGAATTCGGCTTTCAACAACACATTTACTGCTTCTTCAAAAGATGACGGGTGCACACGGAAAACTTTCATTCTGGCCAAGCCAGTGCGGAGGATCTCCATAACGACCGTTACTGTGACCGCCTCGAAGATAGCTAGCACCATGCGCTGTTGCTCGGTCAGGAGCATGACGCACGCCATGGTCATCTCGACCTCTCTCACCCAGAGCATGAAAATCTTTCCATTTTTGCCCTGGAAGGCCTTGAAAATCACCATGAGCGGTTTGGGTGGAAGTGGGGGTCATTCGTCGTCGACGGTGGCATCATGGACGCAGTCACACGACTCCTTCTGCTGTAGGCGCTCTAGCAGAGCATTTTCGTTGCTTGAAGGCGCGCGCTGATCGCTTCAGGTCCTTGTGAAACGGGGTGTTGCAAACCCTCAGTGCAGCGGGGCTGCCGTAGCTCCTTGCTTAGATGAAGTTTACTAAGGTCACCGATCTTTCGTATTATACTAGAACCAGTATGGGTGTAGCGTATCGCAATCAACTACCTACAAGAGTACCCAAAACCTTAACCCAAAGCAAATACACTCTTCCGTTCAGATCAAACCGCACTTAATTGTTTTTCTTTTGCGGCAGAGCCACCTACATCTAAATCTTTAGGTTTTCCTAATTAAAATAGTAAAACCTAATCAGTATGCAACTACTGGCAGTCTCGGCACGTACAGGCTTCTTGTAACGGTGTAGCTACACCATTTTGTGATCACACAGAATAGTGTAATACACACCATTGTATAGTCACTCCATCTTATGTGACCCACCCTTTCATACCAGAGACGTATAAACCCCGTTACACTCAGCGCCAAGCAGAGACATCGGCTTTTTTAGCCCGTCCTGCATGCAGGAGAACTGCTTCATCCTCGCATAGGGTCAGTGCAGCGGGGCTGCCGTAGCTAAGCGCTTGAGGAAGCGTACTTTAGGTCACCGACCTTCCATTCTATACAAGAACCAAGTATGAGTTAGCGGATCGCAATTCGCTTACTCCAAGAGTAATTATGCCTTTCCAAGGCTAATTGACTCTTTATTCATATTCAAAACTGATTTTTATTTATTTATTTATCCTAACTCTAAAAATCTAGATTTTCCTAAATATACTAAATATATATAGTAAAATTTAAATACATGCATAACTGTGAACAAGAAAGTTGTTAAATTCCAACAAATTGAATTGCAGTGTCTAACGGACACGCGAGCCTTGTGG